GAGGGGTACCTTTCCTGATGCCATTTTACAGATGGAGAGCTTTGGTCCTGGAGAGGGGCCTTGTGCCCAGTGGGTGCGGTTGCAGGGCTGGCTGGCTGCACCCTACCCTTTAGCTATCAACTGAGGGGTGTAGTGACAAACATACATGGTCCCAGCTACTTGAGAGCCTGAGGCAGGAAGGTCACTTGAGCCAGATCTTGGTGCCAGCCTGGGCAACATAGTGAAATGCCCTTCTTTTTTTTTTTCTTGCATTAAATACTGTTCTGATAAGGAATAATTGCTATACTAAAATAACATATGTTATTTTCTTTTTTTTAACTTCAAGGAAAAGAAAAATAAATAATAAAAACAATGGTATAAAACTTCAAAAAATATTATTTTCTTCAATGAGCTTTGGTCTGAGAAATAAAATCATCTTAGGATTTGAATCATGGCAAAGCTGGTTGTTCTCTGAAATCTAGGAACTGCATTAGCAAAACCACAGACCTAACCTCTCCACCACCATGCCTGTTTTAATTGGGAGAAATAAGACTGAACATTGTCTATGAAATGACTTGTGGAAGTCAAAAGCCACCTGGTCCAATTGCTCAGGCTAATGTTTCCAGAGCTATATTGAACACGCTAGAGATATCTGCTAAATTTATTTGTTCAAATGTTTAGTTCAGCTCTGATATTTCTCTATTGATTTTTTTTTTTTTGTGGGTCTGGTTGATCTATTTGTGACAGTGGGGCATTGAGCTCTGCTATTAAAATTGTCATTAGTGGTTATCTGAATTTTCATATCCATTAATATTTTTATTATATACTTGGGTGTGCTCGTATGTGCTACATATATATTTAAGATTGTTATTTCTTCCTCTTGGATTGTTCCCTTAACAAGTACGTAGTGTGCCATGGTCCGGCCGCAGAAGGTCAGGGAGATTCCTGCAGGAGGGAATGACACGGGCGAACAGACAAACAACACAGACACCAGAGGTCCTTCTGGTGGCACAGGGGAGCAAGGCTCTTCTGACACAGAGAAATGTTTTCTTTATTATATACTTTTGCAATTACATATGAAACTTGGCAAGTTAAACAGTTTTTGCTTAGATACAGTGAAGTTGCTATTTTGGTTACACATTCAGACATGGTTGACCGACCGCCCAACTACAATCTTAGCAGGGAATCAACCTTTCTAAAGCACATAAACAAAGGAAGCAAACAGATCAGTCACTAGGAGTTCTTGATTAGGTATAATTTTTCAAAGAATTGTTCTCTTGTCCACTGGACAACAGGACCCACATTTGCAATATCTCCATCTAGAGCCAGTCCAGCACACACAGGGCATTCGCCTAATGTTTTCCCGTGCACGAGACCCGTGCAGCGCTCTCCTCCCGTTCTTGTGCGTGAACATTGCCACACAGGAGGTAGGGGACTGAAGCAAATCTCTGTGGTGGCTTTTACTTCCCCTTTTCACCCTGGGTTGGAGGGGGGTGCCTTTCATCTTGGGCTCTGATTCCTTAATTACTTTCAGTTCTGATCCTTCAGGTTCCCAACCATCCTTTATCAATGGCACAATGCATATCTGGAAAGCTATGATTAATAGAGAGTAGAGAGAGAGAGAGGCTACACACCCATCCTATGCGGTCCCTGCTTTGCAGGTACCTGCTGCCAGTCCTGACTTTGTCAAGGAATTGGCACTGGAAGGTCTCGGGCAGTAGTGACCTTCTTTGTTGCTCTTAATCAGCCTTGGTTTGAAGTCCACATTGTCTACAAATTGAGTAGCTATCCCTGCTTTTTTCTGGGTTCCTATCACATGGAGTATTTTTGTTTCATCCTTTAACTTTGTCTGTGAATTATTTTTTGATTTAAATGTGTGTGTTTTCTGCAGCATGTTGTTGGATCTTGTTTCTTGATTCATTCTGCCAATCTGTTTCTTTTGACTGGTGAATGGAGACCATGTACATTGATTGTTATAAGTGGTATGCATTGACTTAGCCTCATCATATTATTTTCCTGTTGTTACTTCTCTTTCTCCTCCTCCTTTTTAATTCCTTGCCTTGCCTGGTGGGTTCATTCTACTGGGATTCATGGAACTGCTGTCTTCATTGTCTTTTTCTAGATTATCCTTGGCAACTTTTTGGCGGGCTGGTTCAGTGGTCATGAATTTTCAGATGTTGTTTATCATGGAAGTATCTTATCTCTCCATCAATTTTGGAGCATCATTTTGTAGAGTACATCAATCTGGGTAGGGCTTGAAATACTTCACTACAGACTCTCCTTGACTTAGGGGTTGTGTTTAGAAGTCTGCTGTGATTCTGATGGGTTTTCCTTTATAGGTGATTTCTTTCTTTTCTCTAACAACTTTTAATATTCTGTTCTTGTGTTGAATTTCTGGAATCTTGACTATTACATGACTTGGTGTATTTTTTTTTCTTTCTAATTATGGCTAATTGGAATTCTATTTGCCTCACTTACCTATGTCATTGTCTTTTTCCATGCTTGGGAAGTTTTCTGCTATTGCTTCTGTGAACATATTTTTTTATGTCCTTGTGCTATCTTCTGATTTTTCATTGATTCTCATTTATCTTATGTTATTCTTCTTTGCGTTGTCTAGCAGATGTTGGATAGATTTTTTTTATGGTCCAAAACTATTTTTTAAAAGTCTTCATTTGATGAAAGTTGCAAACTTTTCATCTAAATCTGATTTTCTATCTTCACATCAGTTGATTCTGCTGCACACACTTTGAATACAAATTTTAATCTTCTGGGCATCTGTTTGAATCTGTTTTATGTCCATAAAAACAAGAACATTTATTTCTTGTTCTTTCATCTCTTGGGCACTCACCATTTCTATTACTTTTCTAAGCTCCTTAACTTTTTAAAAAAATGTGTATCTACTCTACATTCACTAAGCATATCCTTCATTATCTTCATTAATCTATTTAGTTATCTGTATAATCTACTTTGTTACATCTACTGCTATCATCAGAAAGTTCAGCTGGGTGGCTTTTTCGTTCTTCCACCTCAGTGCCCCCTGGATTGTCCTTGAGAAAAATGGAGGTCTGGGGTTGTAGTTCACTTCCATCTTTTCTCATTTTCTATTTTTTTTGTGTGTTGATGATTGTACATTGCTTATGGTAAGTAGCTTTATTACTACTATCGAGACCTCCTTAGGAAATGATTACTTTTCAAGATGTCTTTTAGATACAGCTGGCTTTCAGCTTTTGAGCCCATCACAAGATCCTGCCTCTTCATTTTATTAGGGATGAGAGGCTGTGGATGGTTTGACCTAGCACCCTGTTGTTTGGTTCTGGACTAGGGTATTGCTTATGACTTCCGATAATCTTGATATTGGTATGCAAGAAAGAGGAACTGATCACAACTATATCAGCATGGCTAAAGTAGTACAATCAGCAATAACAAGAGCATGAAGCACAGTAAGAAAATGATCAACAGTAATAACTATTAATTTGCCACCTTTAACCATAGGTTATAAAATTTATAGTTGTATCACAAAATCTCAAACAAATAGAAAATTATACACAGTAAATATCTCCATAATAGAGCACTTTCAATCTAAGGGGGAAAATTTTTAAAGGAATATGGGGAAACTAGAGAAATAAAAGGAGAGAAAGAAATTAGAAGCAAGGCTGAAGGACAAAGGAAGACTACCCAAGCTTTGAGATACTGCAAAAGACAGGAGGGAAAGAATGAAGGAAAAAACAGAAACCAGAACAAAATAAACAAGAAACTAAACCAATGTTCACACTCATAAAAAACAAAAACAAACAATAAAGAAAAAAAAGCCAAGAAAAAGATTTCTCTGTAATTTCAAGCCTGTGGTCATCTTTTGGGGTGTACAGTTTTGTGGCAATGTACAACTTGGGGTGTGTCTCCACTGTCTATGGTTGACAAAGGAGGCAGACAGAGCATAGGTCCATCATGCATAATCCCAGAAACCTGCAGAAGGAATAAGGCCAGATGCCTATTCTGGTGTTTTCAACTCCACAGATGCTCAGGCCATTCTGATCCTGGCCTCTGGCTGTGAGTTTGGGGCCCATGTTGTTCAGCATACAATACTCTTGATGTCTCTTGTTGGCCAGACCTCACCCAGATCCTGGATGTCTTCCTGGGTTATCCCTCACCCCATCACTGGGAGCTCTGAGTTGAGGCCAACCCATGGCTTCTCCAAGTCCTTAGTTTAGCTGGCCCCTTCCTAAAATAGCATGCTACTACTAAACCTGACAGCATGCAGCCAGAGCTACTGGCCAAGAGGCCCACAGGAGGCCTCCTGACATGACCCCATCTTCTGCAGGAGGGCTCATCTACCTCCCCACCTGCTCCTCTAGGAGGAAATTCCTTGGCGGGGAGGAAAGAGCTGTTAAATTACCTACATACCAGAAACCATTCTGCTGCTTGCCTTGAGTTGTAAATATGGCCCATTAAGATAATGACTGAGTTGATTCCAAAGTGTATCTCCCCTCATTCTTCAAGATGAAAGCAAACAGAATTTCTATACTTTGCCAAGATTTCCACTTAGGGGATGGAGCTAATCTGGGAGAATCTCTTTTTCTTTCTTTTTTTTTTTTTTTAAAGAAAGGATCAAAACACAGATATACAGAGTCATTTTTGGAGAGTAACTGGCTTGCCTGACCCTTCCTTTTTGGTGTGGTCTATCAAAATTTCACTGCTTAGAAAAAGGAGCTGGGGGAGGTTTAATAATTACCTTTGCTGACCTCTGTACCCTTGGTTTCCTCCCATCTTGGGCACAAGAT